CCCCCCCGCCTCACCATGCCGCTGGCCAGCAGCATGACGTCGTCAAACAGGTCGAATGTCTCGGGGGCGGGCTGCAGCAGGGCCACCAGCATGGTGCTCTGCAGGGGTGGAGGAAGAGGGGCAGAGGGCAGGGGGAGGCACGGTGTGTGAAGTGCCTCAAATGGGCTGTTGGACCGGGCAGGTGGGGACAAGGCGGGCGACAGGGTCTCAACTCCTTTTTTGGGCCTTCGCGGGGCAGCCGCGCGGCAGGCAAGCGGCAGCGACATGGCTGCGCCCCCGGCAGGGCGGCCTCCTCACGCACGTTCATGACGTGGCAGATGTTGCGCAGGCTCTTGGCGATGGTGTGTGTGGTGTTGGAGTCGAGGCCGGTGGAGATCTCGTCGGCGTACAGCGCCTTGGCGTGGCCCACCAGCGCCTCGCCAGACGTCACGCGCTTCTTCTGGCTGCGGTGGGGGCAGGGGAGGGGTGGTGCGGCGGGAGGGAAGGGGCAGAGCAGATGTTCAGGGCGGGAGCTGGTTGGGTGGGGAGTTGAGAAGGGTTTGGGCAAGGGGCAGCCCACGCAGCAGCCGCAGGCCCATGTCATGCTGCCCTGCCATCCCGCCACCCCCGACCAGCCCCCCGCCGCCCCCTCACCCGCCGCTGATCCCGCGCATCATCTCATTGCCCACCACCGTGTCTGCGCAGCCCTGCAGGCCCAGCATGTGCAGCATCAGCTCCACCGCCAGGCTGTGGGAGCCGCCAAAGGCGTGCGCCTTCATGAAGGCGTCCAGCTCGGGGTCGGGCACGATGCCCAGCGCCTCCTCGCGAGCCGCCAGCTGCAGCAGCACGCCTGCAGCGGGGGCAGGGGCAGGGTGGGGCAGGGGAGCGTGGGGGTGGGCGGCAGGGAGCGCGAGGCACGGGGCAGGCGCGGGCTGGGGGCAGGCAGGCGGCGCACCGGAAGCGGGCGGGCAGGCAGGCACCTGCCCCCCGCCACCGTACCCCCAGCCCTGCTCACCCCGCTCGTAGCTCCGGCTCTGGCACTCTGCGGCAAACTCAAACGCCTCGCGCACTGCGGGCAGGGAGGGGGCAGGAGGGGGCGGGCGGGGAGGGGCAGGCGGTGAGCCGGCTTTTGTGTGGGGGCGCACCGCCTCTTTAGGCCCAGCCAGCCAGCCAGCCAGCCAGCCAGCCAGCTGCCACCATCACACCACCACGACCCCACCACACCACACTACCACACCACCACCACCACCCCCACCTGTCAGCTCCGGGTAGTGCAGGTCCACCTGGGAGATGTAGGCGGCGGAGCGCTCCGGGACGAAGCTGGAGAAGGGGTGGCCGTTGTACAGGATGGTACCGCCCACCGACAGGTCCGCCTGCTCGCGTAACCGCCCACTCAGCGCGCGCAGCAGGGTGGTCTTGCCCGAGCCGGGAGGCGCCAGCAGCAGCGTGAAGCGGCCGGGGCGCAGCACCCCGCTGGCGCCGTCCATGATGCGCAGCGGGCGGCGGCCAGAGGCGCCCACCAGGCCCTGCAGGGGGCAGCAGGAGGGGGCAGGGGAGGCAGAGCCACGGTGAATGGCAGCAGGGTAGCAGCGGGACTGGCGCTGCCACGTGCCATCTCCTCCAAGCCGGGACGCCGCCGGCCAAGCCCACCGACCCCGCGCACACCTCCGGCCCCGCCCCCAGTAGCACAGCCAGCCAGGCTGGGCGCCCCACCTTGAGCACGCCCTTGACGGCGCGCAAGACGGTGGGGATCTGCTTGTCTCCCACCGCCGCCGTCGTCTCCACGCACAGGTCCTGGTACCGCACCTCGATGGAGGGGGGGGCCATGCCCACCCTGCACGCCAGCAGCGGCAACGGGAGGGGGCAAGGGGTGAGCGGGGGAGGCAGGCGGCAGGCAGGGTGCAGCACAGCGGGCCCGCCGGGGGCACCCCCGGCCCAAGCGGCAGCACAGGGGCGGGCGGAGCATCCTGGCGCGCATCTGCTGGCGCCCCCGCCCCACCCACACCCCAACACCCCATGCCACACCACGCTGCCCACCTGGCCAGGCGAGCCTGGATGCGGCGCAGGACGGCGACGTTGTCGGCGTCTGGGTCTGGCATAACCGCATCCAGCAGGGCCCGGCTCTGCGCCCGGCCCAGCTTCTTGGCATCAACCACGGTGGCACTGCCGTCTGGCTCCACCAGGGTGAAGGAGCGCAGCTTCTGGATCGCGGCCTGCGGGCGGCGGCATGGGGTGCGTGGGGAGGTGGAGGCAGGCAGTGGCGGCGTTTGGGGAGGTGGGGGCGGGGGCAGGAGGCTGGGCAGGTGGTGGAAGATGCATGGGGGCGCTGTTGCCAGCTTGCCCTGGCCAGAGCGCCGCGCGTGAGGGTTACATCAGATGAGGTGACCGGCGGTTGAGTGTGGCGAGCGCGCGCTGCCGTCCGGCGAGCGCCGCAGCCGTGGCAGGAGACACATGGACAGCTCATCAGCCAGACGGGGCCCCACCTTGTCTGCATGGTCGGCAGGGCAGGGGCTCGCGCCGCCCAGCGGCGAGCCGTGCCGCCGCGAGGCCTGGCGCGAGGCGTGGCGCGAGGGCTGGCGTGGCGGCAGGCCTGCCGCCGCTTGCGGGGCCTGCTCCTCGGCACCCATTGTGCCTCTCCTCGGGCCGTCAGGCTCCCACGCCGAGTGTGTGTGGTGTTTCAGGTCAAAGGGCTGGTGGCAGCGGCGGCTGGGGGATGGAGGACCGTCTTTTTAGGGGTGGCACTGTGGTGAGGGCCGCTGGATGGCAGGGAATTTTATGGGCGGTTGTGCCAATCATCTCATCGGAGAGGTAGAGCATCTCACCTGCTGCTTAGCCGCGAGTCTCGTAAACTCGCCAGCCTGGCATGGAGCTCTCCAACAGGTCCAGCCCGGTGCCCAGCCTCCTTGCAATCGTAGTGGCGGGGCTAAATGGAGTCGATCGCGCAGCAGCGGGCGCAGTAATGTGACTGTACGGGGCTTTGCCCCCCCACCTCGGGAGGCCGCGACTGGAGCAGCAGCGGGCGCTTCTGAGTGTTCCCCCCGGCTGTAAATCGGTGCACATGTCCGTTACCGAGCGCTCAATCTCGCAGCAGCGCTTGGGGAGGGCAGCGCTGGCGCCACCACTCCCCTCCCCACCAGTCCAGGCCCAGGGCTATCTCCAAGGGCAGCCCGGCAGCAACTGCACTTCTTACAGTGTTTAGGGCCCATGTACAGCAGGTAGAAAGATGGTGGGGGGGGGAGGACAGCAGGGTTGGGAGGGTGGTGCGTGCCACGCTTCCGGGGAGAGGTGCGTTTCGAGGGGTTGAGGGGAGGAACAAAATGGGTGGGGCGGGCCCCTGCCGGGGCCGCGCCGGCCACAGAAGGGGAGCAAATCTAGTCGGTGGTGGGGTGGTGGTGGCGCCAACGAATGCCGCTGGCGCAGGGGTGCGCCCAGACAAATCCCGGGTGGAGTCCAGACGTAGGGGGCGGATCAAAACTAGGGGCGCCTGCAGGGGCGATGGCGCCCCGCAGGCGCACGTCAGCGTGAGGCCCCTCTTGTGGAGGGGAGGGCGCGCGGTGCGCGGGGTACGGTTCGGCAGGCTAGGGCTGGCGTTGG